AGAAGTTTATCCCTATCTTCCTTCAGCTCTATGATTACCTTGTTTGTGTGTTCTTTAAATTCACTGAATTATTTTATCATGTTTATAATGGTTCTTTTGAGTTCCATGTCCTGCATTATCTCTAATGAGTTCTCATTGTACTCCTCTAGAGGACTATTGGTATTTGATAGGGATATGTTATTTTGGTTTTTCATATTATTATTTTTTCTCTGTGATTTTGACATGTGAATTTCTTTTGTAGTTTCTGATTCTTTTGTGAGACTCGGGCCTTCAAGTTTAGGTCTGCTTCTTTTTGTGAACTTTATGTGTTTTTGTGGTTTGCTTTTGGGGCATGAAAATCTGGTTCATCTAAGCTTCTGGTTTTCTCTTATGATTTTATATTAGAGTGGCCAGATTGCTTTTGTCTTCAGGTGTTCCCACAGAGGCTCAAGTCAGATGGGGATCAGATGTTTTCAGACTTTCTCCTAAGGTCTGGATCCTTCCAGGAAAGATTTTGGCCTCAGGAATTTGGGGGTTGGACTGGCCTGGGAGCCCCTGGCCCAGGAAAGATGCTGGTCTAGGGCAGCTGGTGGCTGTGCCACCCAGAGATGCAAAGGCAGATGGGGCAGGAAGAGGCCCCAAGGACTCCTGGGTACTGCACTGAGGAGCTGGGTTGGTCTGGATGCAAAGGATCAGGAAGAGGAAAGGTCAGCCCATGTGTCCCAGAAAAAGGCTGGTGGGTTGTTCAGGTCCATGGAAGCAGAGGAAGGTGGGGCAGGGTCAGACCAAGAAGCAGTGTTCCTAGGGCCCAGAGAAGGCACTGCATTGGTCTGTATGAAAAGGATCAGGAAGCAGTATTGCTTTCCCAGGTGTCTGGGGTACCAAGACAGGGAATGGGGCAGGACCCAAACTAAGAGGAGAGAACGATGGGGCATATAGGAGGGTGAATGAGGCTGGGAGAGTCAAGGCCTGGAGGATGCGATGGACTTACTCTGGAGAGAGGCTTATGGGTAGGAGAGAGGCCTGCAGGGGTCCTACAGGCCCAGGGAAGCAGAGCTCTGACTTTTCTTTCTCAAAAACCAAAAGCTCATAGAAATGCTTCAAAGTCAGGGGTATGGGTCTACTTCTTTTTACTGACTGCAATAGTTCACTGTGTAAAAACATAATGCATTCAATATTCACTGTGTAGAGACTTGGGCCTCTCAAAACAAAGAATAACTGAGTGCATGTTCTTAAACTCCACTATCCTGCTGAAACTTCGAATTCTGTGTGTGTGTTATTGGGACACACTAACTTCTCCAAAGGACTTGCAGCATGAACAGACTAATCAAAGGAAAGACACACTTCAAATGTGTCCCTATCATCCCCAACAGGCTTAAGAACAAACTTTCCCTGGGGAAAATGCTGAACCCGCCCTGGAATTACAACCTGCATCATCTGAAGGTAAGGACCTTGAATGGGACTCTAAACACACCATGCTCTAAGACACAGGAAATGGAAAGTAGACTCTCTGAGCAAGAACATGCAATATGAAGAAGAAGCAAGTCTGTTGTTTTATTAAAGGTATTTTTACCACAGCACACCCCTGCCTATTGTGGTTAACACCAACATATCCGGAAGACTTGAAGGAAACAAGGTAGACATGTAGTAAGGACACAGCTCCTGTGGTTTCCAAGCAAAAAATATAAGTAAAAACGTTGACTTATATTTTGGCTGGATCCCTGAAACTGCTATGTTAGTTCCATCAAAATAGTAAAGAGAGAAAACAAGAAAACCAAGAGATGACCGCAATAATCCTGGGGAGGAGTGGCAGTGTCCGGGGAAGGCAGTTAGTAGGAAAGAGGCCAATGATGTATCTTTGAGAAACAGAGGAGAGAGTAGTGTTTTCTGGAAAGTCAGATTTGCTTGAAGGTAAAAAAGAAGTACTATTTATTGAGTTGTTTCTATTTGTTGCATTAAGGATACGTTATATTTTTTAATGTAAATAACTTGTAGAAAATAAACTTTAAAGGAATGCACTAGTGATTAAGATAACATTTACAGACCCCATTCTATGATAAATATACACTTACCAGTACATACATACATACACACACACACACACACACACACACACACACATACACACACATAAAATCTTAAGCCAGTAGATGCCAAAATGCTAATAGTAGTTTTCCTCAGAGAATGAAATTATGGACAATTTAAATTTGCTAAGTTTCAGAAATATACTTATTATTTATTCTTATTTGCATAAATTCCTTACCTAAAATATCTACATATTGTTTTAGAATAAGAAAAGAACATGTTTTAGAAATAAAGCCATGAATTTTTACACCCCATAAATAGAGGCATAGTTAATAGTTATAACATGTAAATAGTTAATAATAGTTAACTATATCTACTTAGCACTTGTTTATAAATTCATTAGCCTCTATAGTTACCTAAAAAAATGCATGGGGCGGAGATGGCTCAGCAGTTAAAAGCATTGGCTGCTCTTGCAGAGGACCTGGGTTTAATTCCCAGCATCCACATGGTGGCTAACAACCCTCTGTATTCCAGGGGAATCCAACACCCTCCTAAGATTCTGCATGCATTGCACAACACTGGTGCACTTACAGGCATGCAGGCAATACACTTATACAAATAAAATAAAAATAATAAATAAAATATGTAAGAAAGGAAGAGGATGCATTAACATATATGTTATACTGAACAACTATTCAAACAGTTCAAATATTTTTAAATTGAAGATTACCAAGCATTAAATACCTTATTATAGGTTTCTGCTCTACAAATATAGCTTTGAATATATAAAGGATCAATTTTAATTGCCTCAGAAAATTTCCGAAAGGCTTCAGTGTAATTATCCAGGTGTAGGAGATGTATGAGGCCAATATTTATATAAGCCAAAATAGAAGTTCTAAAAGAATGAGAAAGTAGAACTTTATTAGATATTTAAAATTGTTCTAAATGTTCTTCTATTATGAATAACCCTAATGAAATACATGAATCAATATGCAATGAAGTATTATTTTATTATTTTACAAAAGCAACATAAACTAATTTACTACATTTTCTTAAAAGAGAGAAATACCCTTATAAAATCCTTAGTAGAAAATCAACAACTGTAGAGTCTATGCTGGAAATGGAATTAGTAAAATTATCCTAGACTCTTAGCAAACTACTCTTCTTTGACTTAATCTTGAGTTATCTTGAATCAAAGATTATTCTTCCTCAGCTCAAGAGCATCTGAAGCCATGAGTAACAGTGAGATACAGTCATATCCTAAGGTTTGGTATTTTGGGATTAAAATCTCTCTCGACATTGGTGTGTATAAAACTGCTTTTCTCTGTCAAATCAATTTTTTCTCTCTTAGAATCAAACAAAACAAAATGAAGCCAGTGGTTTGAAACACAAGATTTCCTTCCACTGAATTGGATTTTGTGCATAGCAATGAAATATAAGCTAGAATACTTTGTCATTTTTTAAATGATAGTTCTCCAGTAAATTGACTTCAAAATGCTATAGCCTGAGTTTCCCCAAATCCCCCTCTAGTAAGTTGGTAACTTACTATCCATGAACTTCAAGCCTCCCAAATCTACTCAAGCTCTAAAATTTGCAAAGTAACTACAATAAACAGGTCTCATTTCACCAACACCCTTAGTGTTATTCTAATTCTAGTTTGACTTTATTGTTATGCACTCATTTTCTACTAAGTTAGCAACAGAGAGGAGAGAAAGCTTTCTTTTGTTTGAATTTTTTCCTTAATTTCACACAAATCAGTATGAAAGAAAGACATACCTTTCTAGAGCGATAACAGTTTCAAAGTCACAAATTGCCAGCATCCAAAGTTTTAGATGTGTATAGACTATGCCCCGATGTAGAAAACAGCTAAGATTCTCATAACCATCATTTATGAGAGCTGAAGATATAAAATATATATCTTAGTTTCTGAACAACCATAGGAGTTATGTTTTAGACTATTCCACTCTTACTGTTTACTCTTGTTTAACATTACAAATAACAGCATCTATCATGAGTGTACCCATTTGGTGAGTAAAAAATATTATACATAAAAATTATTCATTGTGGCTATTTATGGATCACAAACTCACTAGGGCTAGAGGAAATCCTGGTGGTAAATGAGGACACTCCACTCACTTTAAAAATGAATTTTGAGGTTGGAGGGAGCAAGGCGCATTAACAAGGACTATAATATCAGCCAATGGTGGAGGCAGGTCTAGGATGCAATGGCTGCTGCAGGGTATCAGGGCTTTCAATGGTCTGTTACTATCATGAAGACAATGGTTCAGAAAGGGAGCATATGGCAAAGGTCAGGTTTAATCATCTGCAAGGATGGGCGGCTTCAAAGAGGCTACTCCAAGACAAAAGAACTTGGAGCAGAGGGAGGTAATTTGACTATGCGCATCCCAAAGAGCAGAAACAAAGTGACAAAAAGCAGCCCTCTGCAGATGAGTGGCTATCCCCAGTACCCAGCTCAGAAGTCCCCTTCACTTTCAAAATTGTTATATGGAATTAGATGGGTTTTACACAGAATTTGATACTGTGTTCTAAGCTTGTCAAGCCCACTTTGGTGTAAGAGGGAAAGTGCGCGGGATAGCTTTAGTGTCAACTTGACACACCTGGGTAAAGGGAGCCTCAACTGGGGTACTATCTCCATTGGACTGGCCTGTGGCCATGTCTGTGGGGTATTTTCTTGAATGAGTGATGTGGGAGGGCCAAGCTCACTGTGGGTGGTGCCTCACCTGGGCAGGTGGTTCTGTATTATACAATACAGAAAGCAGGTTGGAGCATACACCAGGAGAGCAAGCTAGGAAGACGCATCCCCCTCATGGCCTGTGTTCCAGCTCCTGCCTTCAGGCTCCTGCCCTGAGTTCCTACCTCGGACTCCCTCAGTGATGAACTGTGACCCTGAAAATGTAAGCCAAATAAACCCTTTCCTCCCCAAACTGTTATTGTGTTTTGTCACAGCAATCAAAGATAAACTAGAACAGAAAAAATAATTCACTGGAATACAATCTGGATTTGGGAAAGTATAGTCAGTGTTAGGGGCAGCATGCAGAAAAAGCAGATAATCACTTGAAGACAGTCCACTGTTCAGTTCACAATATGACTGGCCATCAAGGAAAAGGACGGCTGTGATACTGGTAGAAAAATTCTTCCTAATAAAAAAATTGTTAGGGTGATTTAATGTCTCTATGTCTTAGTTTTCTTATCAGTAGAATTTGGATGATGATAGTAAATATTTCATAACATTATGTGAACCTTCATTAAGGTATTTTATATACTACTTAGACCAGTGCTTAAAACATCAAATATTATTAGCTTGAGAGTTCTGTTTTAATGGTGGATTGTTAAAACCCTTAGGTTAATGTACAGGAAAGGATTAATGCAAAAATCAAGCTGGTCTTCTCTGAACAATCAAATAATAGATTTCTGAAGTGTTAAGATGGCCTCAAAGGCAGGAAGAATTGAGAAGCCCAAACCTTGGATAAGGACTTTTAAAGAAAGGCCAGAGACAAAAGAGAAGAGGATTTATCCAGAAGTACAGGATCAGCAGAGAACAACAAACTTGCACAGCTTTTCAAATGTAAGCTGCTTACACTACACTTACCTTCTAAATCTAAAACGTTCAGTGATGGAGTGCAATGGATATACACGTTTGCTTTGATGCTACAGTGGAGAATGAGGGAATGAGAGAACAGAGAGAGCAGAGAGAACAGGGGCCACAAGTAAAGGGTGAGCAAAGGTAGAGAATCAATTGTGAGCAGAAACTAGATGCAAAGATGGCAAGAGAAGAGAATGGCCATCTTCAGCCTCTTTCCCAAGAGCCCTTGGAAACAGAGGGGAGGCGCTGGGCTCCTCTCATCATACAGGAGGTATCTGAGTTACTTAGTTCAAGTATTACAGGGAGGGGGCCTCAGAGGCAAATGGGCTTAGAGACTGGAAAACGACAATTATCTGGTATTTCCTTCCTAGTGAAGGACTCCGGTTGTCTCATTGTCTCTAGATGCTGACTTATCTGGGATAATAGAATTCTAGAACTTCTCACCCAGATGAACCGAAACCATATATGGAGTGCTGGCTTTGTTCGGTCAGCCAGGATGGGCTCATTCACCCCACTGCAAATTCTTTACTGAGCTCCTACTCAAAGCCAGGAGTTGCCCTACACAGATGTATAAAACAAGAATGCACTGATTGTGTATAATGTAGAAATGGCTGCTTGTTTGCTGTTAACAGCCCCTAGGTAACATGAGTTCTAAAAACCTGTTCTGAATTCATAACTCAAAACCTTTAAATTTGCTAAATCCATAGGCTGAGTCTTGGAATTGAATACAACACACTAGGACAATGTAATGCTATTTTAACATATTGAAAAGGAAATACAACTGAGTTTCCGTGAAAAAAAAATCTCTGCAACTCAATTTGTAGAAAGAGAGTTTTCTTCTGGCCTTAACTGAACACATACAGAGAGAGAGAGAGAGAGAGAGAGAGAGAGAGAGAGAGAGAGTAAAAGGACGTATTAAAACACTTGTACCTCAGAAAGGAGGAGAAAGGGTTAGACAGACAGAGAGAGAAGAGAGACAAATAATGCTTAGGTGGTGTGCAAAACCAGAGGGAAATGCATTTGTTCAAAAACCTACCTAAAAATACACATACAATAAATATACAGCACATGTGTATAGCTGAAGGCTATATAACAAGAAACACAGTGCCAGATAGGAGAAACTTCCCTTCACGTTGTTGGTCAGGGTAGTCCAACAGACTCCCCAAATAACACAGGCTATTGCCGCAGCCTTGATTACTTCTCAGAACTCGAAGGTAAGACCCTATTGCTGGAGACAGGTTATACTTCGGACACAGGACTTGGAGCAATGGAGCTGGAACCGACTTGGAAGCCTCCTCCCTGAAGACTAGCTGTCAAAATTTTAGAGGATACTATGTAAGCTGTGAAGGGAGAAAAATCAATAATTGGTTCAACCTTAGCCTTAAAGCCTAATAACCACAACAATGACCAGCACAGCAAACTATATCCACGCAGTAGTGGCACTTTTATCTTAGGGGTAATCAACAGCTATTTAATTGGACTTAAAGACCACTCGATAGGAAGGAATAAGTGTCTGTGAGATTCCCAGTGCTAAGTGAAAAATCTACAATGGAACCTCTACAACTGAGGCTCATGGAACATAGTGGGACAAGGGTAAAGAGAGCACTAATGCATCTCTCAACTCTCGCCAGCAAAGCTTCTTCATGCAACAGAGGGTAATGAACACAGGAGGCCACAACTGGCCAAAGTGTGCAGGATGAGATTCTTCAGAGTATATGTCCCTGGATAGGACTCCTATATTAAACCTCACCCACTCAAGGTTCAGAGACCACTGGAGAAAGGAGGGTGGAAAGACTCTCAGAGCCAGGGACAGCACATGACCAAAAGGAAACTGTCATCCAGGCTTCTAGGAACTTGCTCAGATGAACTTATATCAGCATGAACAAGAGCCATGCCAATTCAATCAGACAAAAACTCAGCATAGAACTGGGGAAATGGGCAGGGGGCCCAAACCTAGCCAAGAAACTATTGGCAACTGATCATTGTTGGATGAGAGAGAGTTGGTCTTCTTTAAGGGAGTGACACTAGCTAGGCTGAATAGAATCCAGTGGATGAACTCACACCAAGAGACATCTGGTTACACAAACTTGAGTTGATAGGTCTTAACATATATGACAGAATGCATAAATACAGTAGGAGGCCTGTGGGGGTGCAGATAGGGGTCTAAATATAATTAAGATGTATTGTATGAAATGAACAAAAAATAAAAAATATATATTGAAGAAAACACTTGTAGCTCAACTTTATGAGTTATAAGTATGTATTGATATATTATAGTTTGTACATAAGTATATTTAAATATATAAGTATATAAGCATATACGGGTGTACTTATTACATATCAAAACATATATATATATATAATTTGGGAGAATGGCTCAGCCAATATAGTGCTCACCTTGTAAGCACAAGTAGCTGAGATCAGTCCCCAGAACCCAAGAAAAAAGCTGGGCATGTGTTGCAGTCTCAGTGCTGAGGAGGCTGACACAAATGGACCTCTGGGGTTGCTGGCCATCCAATTAGCCTACTTAGCGAGCACCAGGCCCCTGAGAGACCCTTTCTCAAAAAAGAAAAGAAAAATGTAGACAGCTCCTAAAATTGTCCTCTGGCCTCCCCACACATGTGCATATATGCACATACATGAGCACACACATATATAGGTATACAAATGCACAAAACAATAAGTATGTAAGCATATATATATTATATATATATATATATCATGAGTGATCAAGCACTAGTACTCTTCTCTATAAAAATGAGCTGCTGAATCTCACATCAAGTCTCATGTTCATGCAGTTGACGGCAAAGTACCTGAAACGCTGTAATCCTGCAGTGCTTTGTAAGGGTTACTCTTTCTAAACAAGCAAGCTCGATAGTAGAGTGCTAACCAGTTATTAGGATCTAAGTGGATAGCAACAGAAAAGTCTTGAGTTGCTTGTTTATAAAAATTTCTTCTAAAATATGCTTTCCCTCGGTATGTCCTAGAAAATGAAAAACATCATTTTAACATATATTGCAAAGCAGACTTTCTTTTTTTTTTGCAACCTACTTACCTACCTTTGTATTAAATAGCAATTTGTGATTGCTTCTCCTTGCTATTCAAGAGCATTTAGTCACAATGTTACTATCAATAAAAATAAGAGCTTTTTATAAGGAACACCTCATTATATAGTTATATTTATAAATTTCTATTTATGTTGTGTATTTACAAATGTATCTGTATATTGATTATTTATAAGGTAAGTGCAAGCTTATTAACTTTATCTCATTACTTTTACAGGAGGGACAACTTTCTTTAATTCCTTTAAAAAACTTATTCTTCGTTATCAATCTATTATGGTCATTTACTTTTTGAACATTAACTCCCACAAATAGATTGGATTGGCTGACGAACACAAAGGCTAACTTTAGGGATTGTAAGACAGTACTAGCTCGTTAGAAGGACACATCTGCTATTTTAAAACATCCAACCTTATCCCACTAGCATTAAGAGATCATTCAAAGGAAGTTTTTGAGACGAGATCTTCATTTTTGTGATAATCAAGGCTCATCACTCCCCTGCTAGGAATGTAGTGGTATCTCAGGTATGACGTCACCAATTCATGAAATTCTGATTTACTAGAAATGACAAAAGGAGCTTCGGTGTACTTGAAGAGTTAATATAGGTTAATGGTATCATCCTAGTTTGCTTTTCTGTGTCTGTAAGGAACACCATGACCAAAAGCAACTTGGGGAAGACAGAGTTTATTGCATCATTGAGGGAAGCCAGAGCAGGAGCTCAAGACAGGAACCTGGAGGCAGAAACTGAAGCAGAGACCATGAAGGACGCTGCTTTCTGGTTTGCTTCCCCGGTTTGCTCCGCTACCTTTTTTTCTTTTTTAATATTTTATTTCTTATTTTTATTTTTGTGAGTACGAGTGTGTTGCCTGCATGTGGGTAAGTGCACCTGTGTCCTGCAATGCCTATGGAAGTAAGAGGAGGATGTTGGATTCCCCTGGAATTGGAGTTACAGATCGTTGTTAGCCACCATGTGGGTGCTGGGAATTGAACCGGGGTCCTCTGCAAGAGCAGCCAAGGCTCTTGACCGCTGGGCCATCTCTCCAGCCTCAGTTGCCCTTTTTTTAGATAACCAGGCCTTTCTGCCTAGGGATGGTATTGTCCATGGTGAACTAGACCCTGCTACATCAATTAGCAATTAATTGATGTCGCTAATTGTAATTAATCGATTAGCTAATTAGTTAATTAATTTCAATTAATTAGCTAATTAGCTATTAATTGGTGTAGCTAATTGCTACATCCACAGACATGGACAAGGCCAATCCAGTGGAAGACTTTCACCAATTTCATATAAAGAATGCTACAGGACTTTAAAACACAGATTAACCCCAACTCAGTAATGGTAAGTACCTTTAATACCCCACTGTCTCCAATAGAAAGGGGAACTGGACAAAGAATAAACAGAGAAACATCTGAATTAAATGATATCATTCATCAAATGAACCTAAATCTACCAATATTCTACCAAAGCACTGAAGAATACGCCTTCCTCTCAGCATCCCATGGAAGTTCCTCTAAAACTGAGCACAAAACAAACCTCAGGAAATTTTTAAAATAAAGTAATTCCATGCATTCTATCAGACCACAATACAGTAAAGCTCAAAACCACCAGGAAAAGAAACTCTAGTAACTGCATGAACTCATAGAGATCAGAAAACACCATCCTGAACTAAATGAAAATGATAATAAAACACAACAAAACCTCTGGGACATGTTAAAAGCAGTCCTAAGAGGAAAGTTTATAGCTCTAAGAACCTACATCAAAAAAAATCATAAAGAGCACAAATAAATTATTTAACAATACAACTCAAGAATCTAGAAAAGCAAGAATAAATGAAACCCAAACCCAGCAGACAAGAAGGAATAACAAAAATCAGAGCAGTAATTAATGAAATAAAAACTAAGAAAACAATACAAAGAATCAATGACTCTAAGAGCTGGTTTTTTGGAAAGTTAAACAAGATAGACAGACACTTAGCCCAGTTAACCAAAGAACAAAAGAGCAAATCCAAATCAACAAAATCAGAGATGAAAGGGGAAACATCACAACAGACACCAGAAAGATCCAGAAAATTTTATAAAGTAATACTTTAAAACCTATACACCATTAAATTTAAAAATATAAAAGAAATGGACAAATTTCTAAAATCATGGAATCACCAAAGTTAAACCAAGAAGAGATCAACAGCTTACACAGACCCATAACAAATAAGGAAATCGAAATAGTAATACAAAGCCTCCCAAATCCCAGGCCCAGATGAATTCACAACAGAATTTTACTAGACCTTCAAAGATCTACAACCAATACTACTTAAATTATCCAAAAAGATAGAAACAGAAGAATTATCAAACTCCTTCTACGAAGCCAGTATTAATCTAATACCAAAACTAAGAATAAAAACACAACAAAAAGAAAACTATAGGCCCGTATTCCCAATGAACAAAGACACAAAACTTCTCAACAAAATATACCCAAATTGCATAAAGACACACATCAAAAATTTCATCCATCATAATCAGGTCAGCTTTATTCCAGAGATGCAGGGATGGTTCAATATACATAAGTCAATAAATGTAATAAATCTTGTAAATGGACTTAACAACAAAAATCACACAAAGCTTCTCTTTGCAACAGATGGGGACTCTTACAGGGTTTCAGAACTGTTCAAATGCAGAGAATTTCTGTGAGGCGCTTAGCCCTAAGTAACACATCTTCAATGCAACCTCTACACATAGGATGAATGCATTGCTCATCTCTTACTAGAGAAGCTTCCTTATGCATCAGATGGTTATTAACACAGAAACCCACAATTGGCTAATATGTCAATAATAAGAGGCTGCAGAGTGCTTATCCCTGAATAGGACACCTATTTCAAACCTCTGCCTCCCAAGGCTCAGGTATCATCACTGAAGAGAAAGCGGAAAGATTTTACAAGTCAGAAGAAGGTGGATGACCACAAGGAAACATCCCGACAAGCTGGTCAGTTACTCATATGACAATGGTGGCAGCATACACAAGCCCTACGCATGCTCAATCAGACAAAGTCTTAGCATAGACATGGCAAAGTGGGTAACAAAGTCCAACCCAACCTAAAGAAAGCTTGGCAATCAATGGCTGCTGGGAGGGGGGAGACACAGTGTCTTGCAGGGCTGGGACTCTTGGTGGGTGCAGTGGATGGTCCCAGACTTAAGGACATTTGAGGACACAAAATAGGCTCCATATGCCTTATTATATGTATGAGAGTACATTAAATGGGACAGAGGGCAGTGAGGGAGGTGCAGATAGGAGAAGGGACCTAAATACCATCAAACTATATTGTATGAAAATCTCAAAAAGTCAATAAAAAATAAAATGAAAAATATGATAGCCTAGAGAAATTTATCCCTTGAAATTAGAAAGTCTGTTAGTATGAACAACTTGTAAGTAGATGACTTGAAAAATAGCTTCAGTAGGAGTAAAAGGATATTCCCTCAAAGTAACTGAAAACCAAATGGCTAAAAAGAGAAACACAACTATTGTTACCCCAAAGGCATTTCCACTCACTATAAAAGACTAACATTCTTGTTATTACTTAAATTTTTAAGTTAAGGCCAATGGGCTAATTAAAAGTTGGGCAATTAGCAAAACTGACAAGGTAGAGAACTCCATTACTTCACAGAACTAATGAAAATGCTTACTTAATGAAATTGTAATTATCAACACACTTAGGGAGAGATCTAGAACCTAAGTAAAAGCTTAGACAACGAAGTTAATGCTTAATGAATGAGAAAAAAACTGCTCTATTTTTATAGAAGAGCTCTATGATACTCTAACATGCCCTGTTAACCATTCATTATTTCCCAGCTCAGTGAACAACAGCTAACAAAGGCAGGCAGCAGATAGAAAATGTGCCTGGTCTTCAAGGAAGAAATAATATTAATCCCTATCAAATTACTCCAGAAAATAAAAAAGAACAGAAAGTTTCCAAACTGTTTTTATTAAGACAACATCACCCTCATATCAAACCCAGAAAAAGATACAACAAAAGGATTATGGACAGATATCCCTGATGAACAGAGACACAAAAACTTTCAATAAAATACTGGCAAATCAAATTCAAACCACCACAGAAAGATCATTCACCTCAATAAAGTTGGTTAAATCATAGAGATGTGTGGGTGTTTCAATATATATATACATAATATATT